CCCATATATTTCTACTAACCCATATACGAGCTTATGAAGTCCGTTTTCTTGAGATGTATGATGAGCTGAAATTATATACATATTAATGTGAAATTGTTGCCTTGATATTGTTGATATTTGGATGAGTTTTATGAGATTTTATTTGATTTTACATAATTTTAATTCTTTGCGTAAGAAAGGACTTAATTGGAAGAAATCATAAGTTTTAGGAGTAAATTGCAGAGAACAAAAACTCAAAGATCAACTTGTGCAGAATCCAGAAGTTAGGGACCAGGACTGTTCTTTTACCATTACAGATATTGCTAAGAAGGACAACAACCCGACACGGTGAAGGGCATCGTATGCTTAACAGAAGTGTCGGTGCCTTGTTGAAAGTGTTGACCCCTTACTCGATTTTCACCAAATTCGTGTTTAATTAGGTGTTATGGGTGTAGTTCTTACTTCTATTTCAATTAAAATTTCTAAAATCCTATAAATACCCATCCAAATTTAGAATAAGGGAGCTTAGAGGGAGCTTGGTGAAGGCTAGTGGCAGCCCTCTTTTGGGCATTCTTGGAGGTCAAGATAGAGGATCCATTAACGAGAAGATCAAGGATTTCAATTACCTCAAATTAGGTTTTGTTTTTCCTTAGACATTCTTATATTCATAACTGTGATTTTAGATTTTATTATTTTTATTATGAACTAATTTATTTTATTAAGGCTATGATGTAACCTAATCAATTCAATATAGATTTTGTGATTTTATGCTTTCAATTAAAGTTATTCGCATGAGAAGTTTATATTATTGAACTTAATGCATTGGAAGCCTGATCATCTTTCAATTAATTTAGTGATTTATGCATGAACTTGAGAAAAAATTGCGTAGATTAGACCAATAATAATATTAAACCATGTGCTAGACTATGAGACCGAGAGGTAATTAGCTCACATGTGGTAGTGGAGGAAGATAAGAGAGTTAGGAGCTCCCCCTTCTTAAGCTAGAGGTTTCTATAGAATTTAATGTTCATTAGTTTGTTTAAAATTACATAGAGATATGATTAATTTAACAAATCAATGAAGAATTAACTTGACTTAAGAAAGTTAGTTAATTAATTTAAGAAAATCCGTCATCACATGCAATAACACTCAATAAATTGATTTTGAAAGTATATTAATCCAGAATTTATATTGATTGATTATGGTAAAATCAATGCCTTAGTACCTCCTATCTTGGTTAAGTTTATTAGTTATTTTCTTTTTATTATTTTTAATTAAAGTTTCTTCCTATTTGATTGTTCAAATAAATTTAGATTAATTATTTTGGTACTTAATTAAACACAATTCTCGTGGGTTCGACACTCTCTCATCATTATATTACTTGGAGTGACTAGTCCACTTGCTAAGGTGATTTTAGTGTATCAAGTTTTTGGCGCCGTTACCGTGGATTGTTGATTTAATTAATATCGAAGGTGGTTAATTCCAGATTTAATTTGAATGTTTTCTTTTCTTTCTTTACTTTGATTTTTATTTTTTTATTTTTTCGTTTCTTTTGTTTTTGTTTTTGTAGGTCTAACTATGGATCGAGTTGCCATATGTACTTATGTGAGTTATCATTGGCTTACTCTAGAGATAAGGGCACAAGTTGAAGCAATAACTATCAATTGGGAAGCAGAACTTGATTTGTTACCTAGTGCAACAATGAAACATCAAGAAGAAGAGGAGAACACCTTATCTTTGGAGATTGGAGGACAACTTGGAGAAGTAAAAAGCATACCTGCAAAAACTAAACAAGAGGATGTCCCTAAGGAGGAAGAGGAAAAAGCTCAAGTGGCATTTGAAGTGTCCAATAAGGAGTCTCCATTAACTAAATCTGATTTTAATGATTATTTTGTTATTGATATAGTTGATGAGATTTTGCAGAAAAACACTTATGAAGATCCATTTGAGATTGACCTTATTCAAGCAAAGGACTCAATCAAAGAATACATAAATTGCTTGAACACATCATCTTCCTTGAAATCAAAGGGGGCACTCCGAGAAGAATTGGGAAGGCACATCTGCTAGCCTAAACCCAAACCACCTTAAAATAGTCATTGGAGAAAATCTTATGGTGGATTCAGCTTAAGGGCAAAAAAGCCAAGATTCAAGAAAACAAGAGGACATGCCCTACGACCTAATCTAAAACCACCTTGGAGTGGTAGAAAGTCTAGTTAATGACTATAAATTAAGCGCTTCTTAGGAGGCAACCCAAGCATAAAATTTTCTTTATTTTTATTTCTTTGTCTTTTATTTTAATAGTTTAGATTTTTTCTTTTTTCTTTTTTCTTTTTCTCTCTTTATGGCCTAGGTTAATGCATAAATTGTTGTTCTTTGATTTTGGCTAGGTCATTGAACAAGTTTGGGGGACAAGACTATGGAAACTCACATGATAGAAGTCTCCTCTAAATGAAGACAACTCAACTTCAAAACTTCAAAACTTCAATTTTAAGTCTTCACATGCAAAACCTAAGAAGTTTTTCTTTTCTCTTACTTTTATTTTACATTGAGGACAATGTTTGATTTAAATTTGTTGGGAATTTCAAACACCACAATCCCACACAAACGGAAGCGATAAAGAAATTGAGACAATAGTTTAACGTGGTTCGACTTGTACACTTCTCAACAAGTCTACGGCTACAGGAAAGAGAAAAATAAATCCACTATTAAGAAAAAGAATACAATAATTTGGAAGTTCTTTCACTTAAGAAGCTCTTGACCCCTAGCTTCAATCTATAAAAGCTCCCAAATTCTCCCTAATACTCTCTCTTAATCTACACAAGGATTTTTCACAATTTCTCTCTTTCTTTTCTCTCACAAGAGCTCTCCCTCAATTTCTCTTTCTTTCTCCTACTCTTGCTTGCCCATTGCCTTTGCATGCATGGGTATTTATAGTGAAAAATCCAACTACCCATGCACCATTTTTCTTTGCCTCATTACCACCCGACCAAGATTTTCTTTGCCCATTAAATGGCTCAACATGCAATCTTGCATGATTTCAACAAAGCAATCCTAGCCCACAACTAGCTAGGTTGGTGAAGCAAACTTCCACACAAAAAAGTCCATGGGTTCACACATGGGGTTTGACTTTCTTCCAACAAAATTTGGGGGAGAAAATAACTTTTAGGCATCCACTATTATCCTAGTTTCCATTCATATTTGCATAACATACATTTTCTTTTCTTTTTTTAGAAATTAGGGGGTTTTTTTTTTAGGAGTTGGTCCAATTAATGTCAAGGAATTAAATATTCTAGAGTTAGTGATTCAAAAACTTCTAAATCTTTATTCTTAGAGGAGATACAAAATCTAAAAAATAGCACCATTGTGATGAAGTTTAAGTTCATGAGTATTCTATTCTACTTGAGCACAAGTTTGTAGTAAGAAGTTTAGAAAGAAGACTTAGTAGCACCTAAATAGCACATAAAAAAAAAAAAAAAAAGCCAATACAAAAGAGTTTATTAATTTCTACTTCAATGTTTTTAGTTGTTTAGTAACTGGGGGTTAGGCATGAGACCCA